AATAGAAGAGAATAAATTTTAAATACAAAACTGATATAATAATAACTTACAAATAATTCATTTTTTAACCATACTTTGTTAAAGAAAACAATCAAACATACAAAACTTACTAAATTTTTATCTTAAAAATATTTATAAAGAAGTTAAATTATGTTTATAGTTATAAAGATTATTATTATTATTATTATTATTATTATTATTATTATTATTATTACATTGATCGATATATGTAAATTGGATTTGTTAGTGTAACTATTTAGTCTCGATCACTATAAGAAAATCACGTATTATCGACGGATATTTACCGACGGATTTGTAACCATTGGAAAATAATTATTACCGACGGATATAAAATATTTATGAAATTTGATTTTATCGACTGGATATATTCGTCGGTAAAATAATAATTAGTTACCGACGGATATTTTCGTTCGGTAAATTAACAATTAGTAAATATTCACTAATTAAAAATTTAAATATTTTTTATTTAATAATTTAATTTAATCATAATTAGATTAATTTATAATAATTTCTTAAATTAAATAATTTTAAAAAATAAATATTTAATTATATATAAATATATAAAAATATTTAATTATATATAAATATATATATATATATATAAAAATATAAAAATATTTAATTATATATAAATATATATATAAATATATATATAAATATAAAAATATATAAATATATAAATATATAAATATATAAATATATAAAAATATAAATATATAAATATATAAAAATATAAAAATATAAAAATATAAATATATAAAAATATAAAAATATAAAAATATAAAAATATAAAAATATAAAAATATAAAAATATAAATATATAAAAATATAAAAATATAAATATATAAATATATAAATATATAAATATATAAATATATAAAAATATAAAAATATAAAAATATAAATATATAAATATATAAAAATATAAATATATAAAAATATAAATATATAAAAATATAAAAATATAAAAATATAAATATATAAATATATAAAAATATAAAATTATAAAAATATAAATATATAAAAATATAAAAATATAAATATATAAAAATATAAAAATATAAATATATAAATATATAAATATAATTTATTTGTAAATTATTATAAAAAAATTTTGGTAGCTTAGTGGATAGAGTATCGAGTCTCTAGCTCTAAGGTATTGATTTCAAATCCTGCCAATGACAATTCTCTTAGTATAATTAAAATCATAAAAATATTACCGATGGATTAATACCGACGGATTTTGACCAATTATAGACTTATAATATATCATATATTTATACTTTCAGATGCTCTAATAAATAAAGATAAATATTTGTATTTTTTGAATAATTACACTCAAATAATCCTATAAAAAAAATTATATCTCTTCTTACATTATTTGATCTGTTTTTCATTAGAGTTATTATTAAAGCTGTTACTTCAAAGTTTAGAGTTAAGTTCGGCATCTTTACCAAATTTATGATATGGAATCTTTATTTTACGTTAATTTGTATTTTTATAAAGTAAGGATTATAATTAAATAAAATTAAGCAATTAAGATTTTATTTAATGAGCAGAATAAACAATAACATAAATTCAATATAGAAGTCAAATTAGTTTAGAAATGCTTGTGGTTGAGTTTATTTAATAAAAAAATTTCACGGGTAAAAAAAGTGAGTAACGGTGTGGTTATTATCTTCGGTAATGGGTCCTCGTGATCAGCATATAAACAAGTTATCGAATGGCGCTGGTGATATCTCTTCGGATTCGTGAATTCATTGTATATTGAATAAAGAATGCTGATTCATAAATGATGACTGTAGTAGTAGTCGTGAATAGTTGTGGTCCAATATTAATGCGAAATCTGTAAATGTCTAATAAGCATCTTTCCAAAGTTGACTCCAGACCCGTAAACCATGCGCCATGAAATGCATCCTGTCGCATCTCATGGTAGTTCCTTCGTTTTGAATTTCGATTCATTCCTTCGTTTTTCACCTTCCATTTCTGTTTCTCTCAGACAAATATATATATATACATACACAGTCAGATACAACTTTGAACATTACATTGTAAGCTAAATGTGTTCAAGTGTTTTATTAAAATTTGTTATGCCTACTTTCTGCAAGTGTCCCCTCTTGCTTCGTGCGTACTATCTTCACCATATCCATGCTTCATATGTCGTCTAAATAACGCGTTTTCCCATCCACGATACCTCATTTTTATCTTATTTTCATAACTTCGATGCATCGTTTTTCATGATTACATTTCATTCATTTAATAATATACCAAGGATCTGTTTTGTCAAGGGTTTGCCGCGTCATGTTCATAGACAATCTTGAAAGTATACTACCACTGCAGTTAATTCAATAGTATTATACTACTATAATTTTATGTAATTTTAGACATTTACTATAGTTATTTTCTACTACGTTTCTTGTAAAAACCTATTTAAATTGGTAGGAAACTTATTTCTTACAATTTTTATTAAAAAGTAGCAAGAAAATTCTCATAAAATATGAGAGTTCTAGTATTAAATAAATAATTTACCTTTTATTCCAATATAGTTAGAGATTAACTTTGTGATGAAATTTGATATAATTTAATTAGAGTCGTTATCACATGTTTAACCTCTATCTTTTATAATTAAAAAAAACACGTTTAAAATTGTAAAATATTCATTGTGAATCCCATAGTTTTGAAATAACAGTACGGTTTGACCTCCTTCACCAAAAAAACAAGAAAACTCAATTACGTTAATACCATCTAACAACAAAAGAAGACTACGATCTGAATTTTATGAATTGATGCTGAAAACCGAAGCATGTGCATTGCCATTGGCACCAAGAAAACGTGCTGGAACTATTTAAATGCTCCAACATTTTTGAGCTGCAAACGAAAACTTTCAACGTATGAAATTATGTGTATTAGTGAACGTACGTAAAATAAATGTATTGTAATGAGGAGGGACAATCTAACGGTTGAAACGTGTGCTGTTTTTTTTCATGATCTAAAAAATCACGTGAGGCCATGTGATTTATAATCCGTTTAAGATTCACCAAGATTTTGCGACATTATAAGGAGATCTACGACAATAAAATCAAGTGGCCGTGAGATCCTGACCTTCAATTTACATAATGATAAATATGATATACAAGAAACGAAAAAGGACATTTAAAAATGAAGCCACAATGGACAAAGTGTTTGCTGTTCAGACAAAGATTAAATTCACCACTCACGATTAGAATTGGACGCAATGGTCAAAATTTTTGCTGTTCAGTGAATGACTAAATCTACGACTCACGTTAGATGCAATTTGATGCATTGGACAAAGTCATATGAAACCATATTCATTGAAGTACGCGTTACCTAACTCCGAATGCAAATGGCATATAAATCGGGCAACATGACCAAATATTTTACGTACTTCATTTGGTATTGGAATTGGTGATATGTAGAGTGGGAGCAATGCTACTCAGTTTCAAAGAGACACGAGACGCGTTAATACCAAAGTGTAAATTATAAGGGTATTGGTATAACATGGTCATGGGGTGCGTGTAACTTATTACTACGGCCAAGGTATGATCATCCCATCCATAAACTACCCAAACAAAATTACCGACACTCACACGTGTTTTATCTTACAGCTTTTTTGTAATGTATTATCCAGTTGTTATTTATAATTTAAGGGCATCTTTAAAGTGATGGAAGAGAATATACTATGATGTACTGTTATTTTTATTATTTGGCTTCGTATAATAAAATGAAATATAGTAGAGATGGGTGAAATTTATTCTCTTTATATATATATATATATATATATATATATATATATATATATATATATATATATATATATATATATATATATATATATATATATATATATACAATTTAAGAGAGAAGGATATAATACAATGTTGGTTTCGTTTAATATTGATGTATCTAGACAATCGAACGGAGATTTTATTCTAAAGTTGCATCCTCCTAATTTTAATTTTGAGATGTATCTTAATTTGACAAGACCTTCACCCAAATGTGTGTGTGTTTTTTTTAAGAAGACTTCTTTTGACATTTAAATTATGTTTTGCCAGACAAATAAGTGACTTTTCTATTTGTATTGTTGCTTATTTTTACTCACATTTTTTTTATCATCATTATTATAAAATATCTAACTATTTTTATTGAAAATTTTCTTCCCAATTATATTTTTTTATTCGAGTAAGGTGTTACTCGAACCAGCAGTGACACGTTGGTTGTTGATTATCGACATTATACTAATAGTATCAATTCTAATAAAATCCATCATCATTGATATGAATTTGTTGTTGTTTTTGTGCTTTGCTCCATCACAAATTCTTTTCTTTACCTGTTGGCGATTAGCAGGAGAGTATATTCGCATCATCAATGCTACATATCCTGTCTATTAAAAAAAGTACAAACAAAAACAGAAACTTAACATAGCAGGTGATTTACATAATGCTGGTGCCCCAATGCTAAATTTTGATTTCTCATTTTCTATTGAAACAAACAAAAGGCTAAGAGAGAAAGAGAGAGTTTTGCATCCTTCGAACATGATCAAAGATTCAAAAGAACAAATTGTACATCAAACTCAAATGCTGTCAATGTCATAAGTCATCACTAGTTCATCTTCTTATCTCTAATTAAGAGCTCGCGTTAACTAAGCCGTGTCTGATTGAAATCATTCCTAATATCTCCACAAAATTATTCAATTACTTTTTTTGTTGTTAAGCAGGCACACACTGATGGCCTGAGAAACCAAAACACAACACGAAAAAGACAAGATCACTTTTGGATCGATCCGAATCTGAAGTTCGGGGAACACAGGAGCACAGCAAGTAGATGGAGCAGATATCACACTTTAATAGAAAGTCTTCCATTTTGGGCAATTTAATCTATGTTGGTGCATTAATTGTGATTCAGAGTTTCAGTCCTTGTCATTTGTCTTGAGGGTATCCCATACTCGAGCCACGTTCATATTATGACATAATCTTATGTGCCGCCACGCGTAGGTTCTTGACTAGTTCCTTCGAGGTCATATTGTAATTTTCTCCCATCTGCAAAACATTTAGATACAATTAAACTTATTGTACTTCAAGCTGGTGTAGATTCAACGTTGAAAAGAAAAAAGAATACACTAAAATCTTTTCATATCTTAAATACATTACTCAAGCAATTAAAAATGTAGTGAGGGTGTGAGAAAATGACAAGAGCTAATAAAAATAATGAATGGTATTATCATCATTAAGGAAGAGATGGTCCTTGTACCTGAGCAACTATGGTGATGTCAAGGATAGAATCACCGAATGGTAAGATGCTGCTATTGATAACGAATAGGTTATTTCTTTGAATCTCGGCAAGTAATTTGACAAGAAGACCCTTTTGCTTCTGGCAGTGGATCCGAAGCAGCATCTCCTTCCCTGACACTCTTGTTTCCGCTTCAAACAGTGAGTCACACACACTATCAGCATCAATGCTCTCATCACATGAAGAAGAATCATCATCGCCAGAGAGGTCTGGTTTGTTCAGAACCACCACCGATCCTGCCCTTGTTTTCTTGCCCTGCTCTTCCAGCACTGTCAAACGCTCTTTAAGCTCTTTCACATATTTGATAGCGTCCCCTAACACAGATGCCTTATCCATCTGTGTGGATCAACAATATTCCACATGGTTCGTTAGTAGAGTAACCGAGCCAGTGTCTTGATGAGTTACTTATCTTTTATGCAAGTGCGTCAGGATAAAGGTTTTTAATCCAATGTAAAAGCCACTTAAAATTACTTTAACTCGGTAAATTTTTAGAATCAATTTTCTGATCAAACATATAAACATTAGGATCCAGGACATGGAAAAGTGTATTATTACACTTTGTAATTATGGATTTCTGCTACTGATTCCTTAATCAGTCACTTAGTTAGCTTTTTCCTAAACATTTGCATAAAATGAATCATAATTGCTTTAGGCTAGCATAGCAGTATGATACTTAGTTATATACCTTCTTTAGTCCAGGAACAAGAGCTGCTAGAGCAATGAAGCTCTGGCTGAGCTTCTCCCTTCGCTTTCTCTCGGCCATGATGTGATCCTGAGCGTGAGCAGGAGATCTCTTACCATGAGAGGGTTTTGTTTCAAAGTTTTGATTTTTTGAGGAAACTTTTGGGGTTTGATTTGGGAGCCGTGATCTTGCCAATTGGTGCACTGACACAGACACCATGTCGTTCTGTGTTGGGTTTAAGGTACCGTCAAAGCCGTAAAACTGGGTGGTGGTGTTGGGAGGGGAGGAGTTTGGGTTGTCAAAAGAGAGAATCTGAGACTGAAAGGAGGAGAAGGAGGAGGATGGGGAAAGTTTTGGTGAGAGGCTGTTGGTGATGGTGGATGAGTCAGAGTTGCAGCAACTACTGCTTGTCGTTTTCAGCAACTTGGCCGGTCTCTCAAAGTCAAAACTGGTTTCATCTGTGGATGAGTTGCTCACAGTTTTGGAAGGGCACTCAGAAGACAGAGATTGGTGAAGGGTCTGTGTCTGTTCTTCGAGGGCACTAGCAATGTCTTGTGATAGAAACTCTTGGTCATCAAACAAGTTCAAGTTCAGGGCACACTCATCTGGAAATAAACTGTAATCATCCATATCCTGTCATGAAGACAAAAAACACCACTTGGTTAAGGATTTGTAACCATCCATTTGGGCATTTTTTCAAGATTGGAAAAATAAAAATCAATTTTCTTACCAAATCAGATAACCAGTTGGCAGATGCATCCATTGGTTTGTTTAATTCCTCCATCATAATTAGGTCACTGAAACAAAAATAACGCAACACTTTACAGTACAGTGCACTAATTTGTTCTTTCCCTATTCCCTCTTCAGAGCCTTACCTCTTCCACTCTATGCAAAATAGAACTTAACTTTGTTCACCCTTTATAGCCTAATTATCAACCTTTTCAATTCCTCAACTGGCCATAAACAAAGGAAAGAATAAGCACGTGCGGACAATCTACTAACTCCCCTTATAAAATGTTTTTTATATATATATAAATATATTATTTATACCTTATATAACAATTTTAATAATAGTGTTTTTTTTATTATTCTTTTTCATCATCCCAATTATTATTACTTTTTCCCTATTTGTCCTCTTATTATAAGACAAATTGTGTAATTTTATAACATATAAATATAATTACTGAATATATTATGCGTTGGATGGGAACAGTGTCAATTATTAATCACATCATTCAAAATTGGTACTTGATATGTGAAATGTATTTAATTACGAGGGAGACGCAAGAAAATCTATAATCGTGTACGTGCCACCCTGTAGCTGGGAATGTGGAATATGAATCATGTGATGTTAATTAAAGTATTTATCTCAATAATTGAGGCAAGTAGTCAGCAAGACCCCATTAAATTTTATGTGATTTTTTAATTAACTTTTTTTACGATGGCTTTCTAATAATTATGTTATATTACACAAACACATGAGCACGGATCTTCTTCAAATACAAAACTTTCCTAGTTTCATCATGTTTTTTGCCTTTAAGATTTCAATAATTCTTATTTCTATAATAATTAAGTAAAAATTACATCAAGCAAAGTCAGTCTATTTTTTGGTTTGAAAATTATTACCGCATATATTAATATTCAATAAGTTATATTAATCTAAACTTATTTAACACGTGACTCAAATACGTTAACATTAAACTCATATTTGTTCTTGAAAGATACAAGAATAAAAGCCATTTTACTGTAAATTTATTAGTCTAGATTTTTATGATATAAATTTGAAATATGATAATTTATCTTTTTAATTCCACATAGGTTCTTATTGACAACTTTATTTAAGGTGTGAATGAACATTGAATAGGAAAACCATTTTAAGGAGAAATAACTTTAATTTTTGACTATATGGAACCAATCCCTTATGTTATATTTAACCTTATTTGGTATACGAATGTAGCTAGTTTAATTTTTCTATTAATGATAAATTGCTTATACACTTGGAAGAATATTTAAAAACAACCCAATAATATAAAATATAGACAAATTACACTAAAGGATCCATAAATTCAAACAAGACATTTTATATTTATTATCATATTCTATTTCATACATATAAGGCTTATTTATTCGCATTATACAATAACCTTTAACTGAACCAAACATATTTTTTTAATAAATATCCACGTACTTTATTAATTTATAACTAAATTCTTTCTCCACGAGTCTTAAGAAGTGGACAGCTATTCATACTTACATAAAATAATAGTAATGGAATTATAAACTGCCAGCAACATTTTTCACTAAGTGAATACTGAAGATGGTGTATATATATAACAAGTGAATTATAACAAGTGATATATATATATATATATATATATATATATATATATATATATATATATATATATATATATATATATATATATATATATCTATCGAGCCTAAGAAAATAATTTTGTGCTTGATAATATCTCGTTTGTTTGAAATAAGTATGACTGTGGTTGCGGTTTAGGCCGATTCTCCACATCAAAAATTTGTTTGCTTGCTTAAAAGTATATCGGCTGAAAAACTGGGTATTTAAGTCTTCCCGATTGGGTTGTTTGATGCGTAATAGGCCAATCCAGATCACATATGTCAGGTTCAATTCCTGACAATTTATTGTGAATTAACAAAGCCACGTACTTTGTTCATATAACTGATTATTCTCTCTGAATTTTTATTTTCTGAAAACTTAACTTTTTCATTAGAAAATTTTTATTAATTAAACCTTGCCTAAGAGTCTTTGAAGGTAGATGAGCGTTGGTAAGCCGGTTTAGGTTATAAGTTCAGTAATTGGCAGTAAACCCTGTGGTGTTCCCGTACATCTTAGACCTTGGCCTTAGGATGACAAAATTAATAAAACTTTTATTTAAGAGAAAAGAAAAGTTAGAAGAAAATAGGAATACAGAAGAAGAAACCAGTAATATGAACCTAGTACACCATGAATTAATAATCCCAGAAATAGAAAATCAGCTGAATAAATGGACCCTTCCCAAATTAGAGATATCGAATATCTATAAAACTAATTGGAAAGATATGTTTAAATCAGAATATATAGTAAAAACAGTAGATAAAGAAATAGAACTTTTATCAAGCCATGAAAAAATACCATTAATAACTAAATCCTTAATAGCAGAACATATAAAAGAATATCGATATCTTCATATATGATCAATACAGATTGCAATAAAACCTCTATTTAGAAAAGGAATATATACACCTATGTTTGTTGCTTTAAGAGATAATAGACTAGTAAAACTTGAAAACCAAATATTAGCAATGTTCGAAACCAATCTGCATAATGGACCAGTATACATAAATAATTACCCAAATTATTCAATAGCCCTTAAAAGTTTGCATAATACGGAAAATAATATAATATTAGACATTAAAATCCCTGAAAACATATGGAATCCAAAATCAATACCTATAACAATAATATATAGAATCTATTATAAGATAATGAAAACTCAATTAGTCCCAGGAGCCTTATTAATGTCTCCAAAAGATGAAACAACTATGTTATTAGTTAATCCAGAAAAGGTTAATGCTGTAATACCAAAAACTTTAAAACACACCGAAATATCTAGTGGTCTTAGTTGGAGACTAGAAGACTTATTAGAACCAGAACCGGTAGAAGTGGAGAATATAACTGAATACAAATCAGGAACAGGAGAAGTATCCTTTGCCCCAATCCGAAGAGTAAATTCACAAAGAGGAACATCGAGTAGAAATACATTTGTAACAGCTAGAAGATCAATAGATCAATCTAGTTTAATACATCACAGAAGTCTAAAATTAAAAGGTATAAAAGACGACCCTACAATACCAATGCCAGAATATGAATATGAAAATATAGAAATACATAATTCTCCATCTGCTTCTGAAATACACCACGACGATAGTATAATAAACGTAATAACTAAATTCGAAATAAATAAAGACTCATTAAGACAAGAATTTTTAAATGAAAATAATAAAGAAAAAAGAGAATGGTTCTTCGAAACTTTTACTCAAAACGAATTAAAAGAATACCGCAAAAAATATTATGAGCATTTAAATTTAATTCAAGAAAATATACCATATTTTAAATGGTTTGAAGAAAACTATTTAGAAAATCTACAAATTAATGTACTACAAAATGCTGAAAAAATATGGAAAACAAAAAATAAAGAAGTTATCAGTAAAATACCTCCTTTAGAAGAAGTAAGATTTCCTAACATTGAAAATAAAGAAGTAATTGTATCACCCTTTAAAATGATATGAGAAAAAAAAATAGCAATGAAACCCCTAATATAAATGATATTCAAAATATACATAGTCAATTAAATTTTACAAATCAAATATTACATCAAATAGCTCAAAAAACTATTGAAGAAGAAAATTTACCAAGTAATTAAAATCCATTAGGAATTACTGACTTACAAAAATCATTAATAAACCCTATAAGATTATCTGATAAAGAATATAAAGAATTTAAAATAGGAAATCAATCAGACAAAATATTAGAGGAAATAAATATAAAATTAGAACAATTAAATGTAAGAAAACTAAATGTAATAGATATTCCTGAGGAAGAACTAGGAGACCTAGAAAATATAGATTACGAAGAAAACATAAATAGAATAGGAAGTAAATTTAATGCAAGTCCAACCACCCATAATATGCCAACCACTAGAAATTATTATAGACGACCAACCTTACCAGACATACAATTCGAAGACTGGAATTTAGAAAGTCCATCCGCTTTTAATGGAACTGGAATAACTGAATAGAACATAGATGGACTAATCGATTATCAGTTACTAAGAAAAACAAATGAAATGGCTATGGCTGCCTCAGCCTATAGGGCAAAAAACTTAGAAGAACAAACAATACAATTACTAATTCTAGGATTTACTGGATCCTTAAAAGGATGGTGGGAAAATTATCTAACTGCAGACCAAAGAAGATTCATTTTAACAGCAGTAAAACAAGAAGGAAATAATCAAATATCTCTAATGGTAGAAACTCTAATAATATCAATCATCCATAATTTTATGGGCGACTCTAACACTTTTGAAGAAAAAACGACTACCTTGCTACATAATCTAAGGTGTCCCACTCTAGGAGATTTTAGATGGTATGTAGATAATTTTATAATTATGGTAATGACTAGAACAGATTGTAAAGAAACTTTTTGGAAAGAAAGATTTATTGCGGGACTACCCCCAGTATTCGCAACAAAAGTACGAGAAAAATTAGCTCAAAAATACCCTGAACCGTTACAAGATATAACCTATGGAAAAATAATTTCAACTATTAAAAACATTGCTTTAGAAAAATGTAATAATCTAAAATTGGAAAAGCAGATTAAACGACAACAAGAAAGTGGTACAAAATAATTAGGAGATTTCTGTATACAATACGGGTACGAATGATTAGATCCCCTTCCAGAAAAAATAAGAAAAAACAAATAATTAAACAAAAATTCTCTCAGAATAATAATAGAAACATCCCTAGAAACTTTAAAAGAAAAATAAGAACAAACCCATCTACAAATAATAATCAATCTAATTACAAGAAAGGAATAGTTTGTTATAAATGTGGAAGATACGAACACATGAAAAAAGATTGTAGAGTAAAAGAATACAAAACTTAGATATGAGTGAAGAAACCAAAAATCAAATAGCAAAAATATTGTTATATGAGTCAGAGGAAGACATTAATAATCTAATGGAACCTAGTAGCAGTGAAGATGAACATACT